GCAGATAGGCTTCCAGGCTCCCATTCCCGCTTGGACCCCACACGTGTTCCTACTCTGCTCCCATGGCCCCAAGGCGAGGCCCCACCCTCTCACTCACCTGGGTCCACCAGGTGGGCATCCACACTGGTGAACACGCAAGGCTCGGGGCCTTCACACCAGCTGTCACTCTGGCCAGGACCATTTCTGCAGATATCCATGTGGCTTCTTCCCTCACCTCCCTTAGACTTTTACTCAAATGTCACCTTCTTAGAGAGGTCCCCCTGGCTACCGTAGGAAAATCACACCCTACTTCCTATTTTATACTCATGTGTGCATTTATAGCTGGCTGCCATCAGCGGTCTGCGAGTACTGCTAGAGCGGGCATGCCACTATTATTTACCAGGATTTTCAACTCAGAACAAACCATTGGTTGAATGAATGAACAATCTCAACCACTGATTTTTTTTTTTTTTGTGGTACTAGGGATGGAACCCAGTGACTCAGACATGCTAGGTAGGTGCTCTACAGCTGAGCCACATCCCCAGCCCTATTTTGTATTTTTTTTTAGAGACAGGGTCTCACTGAGTTGCTTAATGCTTCACCTTTGCTGAGGCCAGCTTTGAACTCATGATCAGTGAGTTTAATCAGCTGCCTTTGAACTCAGCCTCAGCCTCCTGAGCCGCTGGGATTTCATGCATGTGACACCATGCTCGGCTTATTTTATAGTTTGAGACAGGGTCTCCCTAAGTTGCCCAGGCTGACTCAAACTTACCCTCCTGTTTCTGCTCCTGATGCAGCCTCTGACTTCAGCTTAATAGTACTGACCTCATATACCAGCACCTAGGAACTGACAGCTAAACCACACGACAAGGACTAAGGGAGGAGAGAAAGGAACAAGCCCCAAGAAACAGGGGCTGGAGCAAGGGGAAGAGGAGGTACAGCTCACCTGCTCCTGTAGATGGTCCCACATGCCAGTCACCGGCTTCCGATACAGGCCTGCATGGGTAGCCACCAGCACCTGAAGTGGGGCAGGGGTCACACACCATCCTCAGCTCTTCCAAGCCCCAAAGAGCTGCTCATGCTCTGGGATATATAGCTCATGACAACTGCTCATGGCTTGACCCCAGCAGAGGCCTCTGTCCCATACATCCCAGGACTCTCTCTGGGTTTGTCTCCCACCCGAGGGTCTTTGTTACCCTACCCTGGCCCTAGCCTCCATTCTAGTCATACCTGAAAGGGAACCCCCAGCTTCTCTACCACAGCCTCCACCTTGGCCTTGAACTCTTCTGCTGGCAGTTTCCCTCGTCCAATGCCCATCTGGTTGGTGAAGATCACCAGCTAGGGAGCAGACAATGTCACCAGGGCCTCCTCATCAGAGACCCTGTCGCGCTTGCTCACATAGGCACAGACCTTGTAGCCTTCTGCTTCCAACTCCTTCAGCTTGCGTGGAATCTCTAGGTACAAGACCCTGGAGTGGGTGGGAAGTGGACAAGTGACCTGGGTCCTGGAAGGGTCAACCAGCTCCACTCACTCCCTTCCCTTTCTCCTCCTCACCTCCAGTCACTGGGGCCAGTGGGAAACACCTTCCCAGAGCGGGTGGTGATAAGGGTCCCATCCAAATCAAAGGCAGCTACCTGGTGTCACCAAGAACAGAGGAGGGGCAGCATTGAGACACCTGTCTCTTCACTCACAGGATGAGTCACAATAACACTTCGATGCAGAGAGATGGTTTTCTGTAGATATGACCCAACAGGGATGAGGCACAGACACCTCTGTACGCAGCACCTGAAATCCTACTGTCCTGTCACTCCTGTGTCCACCCCACCTCTGCATTTCTAGTATTAAAATGAGGATTAGTTTCTTACCCAATCTCCTCCCCTGGGCTTTTACACCTTGGAGATTAATAACTACAGGGGAAATAAAACCATAGCAAAGCTTTTTTGGGGTGCCCACTGCCTGTCAGGGACCAAGGCCACATACTTTTTGGGAAGTCATCATTTCAGAGGTGAGATGTAGACTCAGCATGGCCTTGACTACATCTAAGTGCAGTCTGAAGAGCCCCTGCTGACCTGTTCCTGGTCATCCTACTGATTCCTGGGTGGCTACCAAGGGGCAGCAGGGACCAACACACATTTCCCCCAAGGCTAAGAGGCTGACAGCCTTGCCTAGGATCACATTTGAAGTTCAGACGGAATGCCCAGCCTATGGCAGAACCTCCAGCAGCCTCACCTTGCTCCGAGGCTGCACCCCAGGTGCTGTAAACACTAGCAGCTTCTCCAAGCTCTCCCAGCCAGGGGATGACTTCCTTAAGCGCTTTTTTTGCTGCTTAGCATCCTCCTCCTGCTCTTCATCTGAAGCTACTGGAGGCGGAGTATCTGGCTGGGATCCTGATGTATGGGTCTCTTCCCAGCGCAGGGTCAGTGGGTGGAGGCCATTGACCAAATATAGTGTGTCCCCCACCCCCAGAGAGCCCTCCAACCCTGGTTTCAACTCCTGGGTTCCAGCAGTTGAAGGGTTAACGCCCAGCTGCAGAGAAAGAGGGAGGGGCTGGGACCAGCTCCACCCACTGTGAGAACCTCCCCCCACCCAATACCACAGGGTGATTTAGTCCACCTACCAATCAGACCCTTATAGGCTTCCAGTCTTGCCCAGTTGAAAGGGGACAGATGGATACCCAAATAAAGCCCACAACTCTTTTTCATCAGCACACCCCCTTCTTCTGGCCAGTTTTCTAATGGGTCTATCCCCTGCCAGTTTGCAACTCCCCTCCAGACCCTACCCCCAGACACTGCTACCCCTTGCTGAAGCACTGGTACCTGTTTCACAGCCACTGTCCGGGTCTCAGGGTCTGCAACCAGCTCCACTAGGGGATGAGGGGGTGAGGTCAGGATCGCATCCTTGTGTGAAGGGCACCCTCATACTGGGGAGCGGTGGCCAGTTTCAGGCCACAGAATGGAGCTACAGCATCCATTCCGGAGGGAGTAGGAGACAGTTTATTTCTCAATGGGATTGGCTCCCACTGAGTCAGGACTGCGTGTGGCATGGTCCTTGCCTACCAACAGGGCAGATACTTTCATATAAGTAATAATAAGCGAGGCTTGACGCAGGCCCTGGGCTTGCCCTGTTACCATCCACGTCCACCCGGCTTTTACTTTTCTCTGTAGGATCACCTCTCTTCACAAAGGTGGTGGCCAGTTTTAAACCTTCAAATGGCCCGACAGCAGCCTCCTGTGCCCACTGACAATTCTCCCGGGGTTGGCTCCACACCCTCTCCCCCAAGGTCAGGTACAGCCTCTTCTTCTGCGCTCCCCAGAATCGACCCCTGGGCTGGACGCACCACGCAACTGTGCCTAGTAGCCGAGCGTCCCTGGGTGCATCATTCTTTAGGATCTCGTTCCCGCCTCTAGAGCAGGCCACACCCCTTCCCGCTCAAGCCCGTCCCCACCTTGGTTTCTGGAGCACTTCCGGTCCGTAACAAGAGTGAGGGGACCCCGGCCGAGGACAAGAGCCTGCCGGTTCGAAGGCAGGAAGATGGGAGGGGCTCCCCCAGCGGGGCTCTCCAGCCACAGGCGGCCCTGGACCTCCTCCTCAGCCATCCTGCTGCCGGCCTAGGGGAAAGTAGGTTCGGGGGTCTGAGCGACAGGTCGTCCTCGTGAACTACAGGAAGCCCCGCCTCCACCTTCCGGCACCAAGGTTCCCCTCCCTCGGTTACCGGCTCCGGAAATCCCACCCTCGCTGTCGCTTCTCAGGCGACAAGGCCGGCCCCAATCCCCGGTGAGTGAAGTTCCCACCTCTCCCAGCAAAGGCCAAGAACGTCGCGCGTACATCCCCAACTCTCACCCGTGCTCGCCGCTCCGACCAGGAAGGCTCTGCCAGAGGTTTTTCCCGGTACCCAGAGGGCGGCTTTCAGCTTCCGGCGAACGGAAATGACTGTCCTAGCCCCGCCCCCTCCAGTGCTTAGGGTCCTTCTGCCGCTCTGCCCTTCTTCCCTCTTGCGGCATCGCGAGCCTCAGGACGTTAGGCGGAGTGGATCCTCCATCCATAGATTTTTTTTTCCCTTTACACGTTATCCTCTTATTTTAATCTTTGCTGGAGAAAATTGCAACAGGAGGAAGCTTTCCGACTTGACGACCATCGTCAGTAAAAGAAATTCAGGCCCCCTAGTCATCTACTTTTGTTTTACCCCCGATGCTGCAGTTAAATCCGCATCTATAAAGTGGAGATAATCGTTCCCAGTTGTGGGTTAATAGGAAGACAAAGAGTTGATGTATGTAAGTGAGCGACAGTAAGGCTGTTTTGTCTTTTTCCATTGTTAACACTTCTCAGATGGTAGTCTGAGGATAGGGGATGAAGATTCCATTTTTTACCTTTCTTTTTTTTTTTTGCTTCTGGTATTGGGGATTGAATCCAGAGGTGGTCTGTCACCGAGCCACCCTCCCCCCAGCCCTTTTTTATTTTGAGGCAGAGTCTCGCTCAGGTTGGCCTTGAGCTTGCTAACCTCCTGAGTCGCTGGGGTTACGACGTGTGCTCCAGCGAGCCGGCTGAACCTAGTCCTAACTTCGAACCAGGTCCCACCTGCTGTCTAATCGCCCCCAGAATTCCTGTGCGAAGATTCCTGGATTTGTTTGGGAACCTTAGCACGCTCTCCAGAGACCTATTAATGAAGGGCCATTACGATTTCATCACTCATTCCGCTTAAGGTTGGAGTTCCATAGTCACAGAGGACTGAAGAGGTCTCCACGACCCAGTGAATTTAAATTAAAACCGAGACGAGGGGCTGGGGATGTGGCTCAAGAGGTATCGCGCTCGCCGGACATGCGTGCGGCCCGGGTTCCATCCTCAGCACCACATTTAAAATATATATATGTTGTGCTCGCCGAAAATTAAAAAAAAAAAATTCTCTTACTCTCTCAAAAAAAAACACCAAAAACCAGACGATAATACCAACATTCAGCTCTGCACTGAGTCAATTAACTGCTGCTCTCCGTCTTCGGAAAAATGTAGAACACCTCACACACTCATAGAGGTAAAACTCTTTAATCTCAGAGCGCCCCTCCCAACTTCCGACCCCCCCACTCTCTCCCCCACACCAGGGCCGGAGAGTGAGCCCCTGCCCTCCACCTCTGGCGGACGAGGGCCCTTTAAGGCACCTGTGGGGGTGGGGGAAGAGGAGCGGGAGCTGGTTCCGTCCTGGACGCGGGGACGGGCTTGGATTGGCAGGTTTTTGTGGGATGGAATCAATGAGGTGGGCTGTCACACGCAGACACGGGATTGGGCCATCCCTGAGGTGGCCAGGGTCACAACTGTCAGGCCTGGGGGCAAAAAACGACCCCAGCCCAGTAGTGTAAAGCCATAAACTGGAAGCCGCAGTTCTGGGCGCCGGAGGCTTGGCCGCCGTCCCGCGGAGCCAGTGAGGTGGGACGATTCTGGAAGGGCGGGCGGGCGGGCGGGCGGCCTCGGGAGACTGACGAGCCCGCGAGCAGAGCTGCCCAGTCACCAGGCTCAGTGCCACCACCCACTCCTGGGCTTGGCAGTGCTCCTTCAGGGACCTTCGCTGAGGCACAGCTGACCCCGGGAGGTTTAGGACCGGCCCGGCCCCGACGGCGGGCCGAAGCAATCAGAGTCTGACGCTGGGCAGAAAAATGGGCGACAGACGCCACGCGAAAAGCGGCCGGATCGCGCTCCTGGGCGGGAGATCGAGGGCTGGAAGGGCGGCGGGAAGTACAGGGCGGGTCAGTCCTGGGACCGCGGATTCGTGGGGACTGTCCCGGCTCCAGCTGGGATTGGCCAGCCCTGGGGGCGCGGCGGGGGTGTAGTGTGGGCGGGGCGGACGAGAAGCTCCGTGGGCCTCAGTATTTCCGCTTCAGCTTTTGGAAGTCGCTGGTGTTGAGCCGAGGTCGAGGCAAATCCCCGAAGACCTGGGTGTCCTCAGCCTCCCGCAGAACCAATGCGCGCATGCTCGCCGCGATGCGGTCGAGGTCCGGCGAGGAGGGCTGCAGAGACGTGGGCGGGGTGGGTCAGCACACACCCAGAGCTCCAGCATTCACCCCTGCACCCTGGGCGACAGGCCCGCTCCCAGCTGGTCCCCACCCTCCCGCTTGGGCCCTACGAAGCCCATCGCCAGCCATGCCCTCTTGCTCCATTCTTCTACCCAACTCACACCTCCTCTGGCAGCTTTGTTGACCTCTCCCCCTCCCCATCTTGACCTGTGTGCCACCACAGCTGCCTGTCCCACCGCAGGGAGGGGTCTCAGGCACCATTTGGGCTAAAAATCCAGTCACATTCCAATCAGACCTCTGCTGAGGACTAGCTAGCTGTACATAGAGATTTTGCCTTCCTAGGCCTCAGTCTCCCCTTCTGAAAGATGGGTATAACAGGGCCCCGGGAGGGCTGAAATTGGGTAGCCATCTCAGAGATGGAGCAAGGAAGGTGAACTATCAGGTGGTCTGCATAGAAAGGACCCTCATATCCACCATCAAAGCCCTCCAGTAGGCTGGGAGAGGCCACAGGCACTAGTTGGTCAGGAGCCCATGAGGACAGCCCAGGGTCCAGTACTAGGAGGCCCTGAAGGTCCAATGGGTTAACTGTGTGACCATAAGCTGCCAAGATGGACAGCAGCGCTGCACCTGATGCCTCACTGGGCCCTGGGGGCAGAAATATGGGCGACAGACCCCCACACCCATTTTTCTGCCCAGCGTCAGATCACTCTAAGTAAATGGACACTGAGTCTTGAGAGGGACAATGCCAGGCCTTCTCCCTTGCAGCCCACTGCTCTTCTAAAGGAAGCTGGGTCCCAGTCTCAGACCTCTGGGAGGCCATGCGTCCTCTCAGTGCCTCAGTTTCCTCCTGGCTTCAAGGAGTTCCAGTGTTTGGTAGCTGGAGCTACCCCAGGAGAGCAGGGGAGGCCTTCGGAACAGCATGGCTGCAGCTGCAAGACTGTGGCTGGAAACCTGCCTCTCACGGCTGAGTGGGCTTCAGTGAGCTCACAGGTGAGAAGGCAGCAGATCTGAGGGCTTCCTGCAGCAGGTGGCTCTGAGCCTGTCTAGCCTCCCTCCTCCCCAGCCCCACCTGCCCCTCACCGGCCCATTCTCCTCATCTGATGACCGGGCCTCTGTCCTCTTCTCCTTGAAGGCCCAGACAGGCACCGACACGGGCAGAGACCGGGCATACTGCTGTGTGGGCAGCGCTGAGGCTGGGGGCATGGAGTAGGCTGGGGGGCCAGCTGGGGTCTCCTCGCTCAGGCTGCCATCTGTGAGAAAGGGGTACTTCAGCCTCTGTCCCTGTTAGCATTCCTGGTTCTTGGGTGTGGGGACAGCGGGAGACACTCACCATCTGTGCTCTCAGGGTCTGACTCGCAGAAGGGGGGCAAGTCCTGGAGGGTGGCATCCTCATCCATCACAAAGAGCCCTGAGGACGGTGTCAAGAGGCCCTGGCCAGTCAGGTCGCTATCCTGCTACAAGTGCCCCAACTCCAGCCACTGTCACTGCTTTCTGGGGGCTCCTGCAATTATTAGTCTCTCAGCCTCAAATACACGGTGCTCGTTATCTGTCCTCTGTCAACCTGTCACACCCTCAGATGCAAAAAATACCCTGGCTAACGAGGAGCCTCTAAGATCTGTTTTGGACAATCAATGTGACTCAGAACATAGGCTTACAGAAAATGCCACAATTGTGACACCTGCTTGACAAAAGGAGAGGCTCTGACAGATTGTGTCGCTGGCTGGAGGTCCCACAGCAAGTGACATCACCAGGATTTCAACTCCGCACACCTGGCTCCTGTCTGTACCTTCCTTCTCGGCAGGTGTTGTCCAGCAATGGGAGGAGGCCGAGGCCAGGCATTGGTGACAACAGACAGAAATTCCTATTAATTGATTCCCCTGCACTCTCTCTCACTCCTCAGAACCTCAGTGTTGAGTGCAGCCTCTGGGAGGAACCCCTGCAAGCTGGCTGCTCCCTGACTGGGGTGGCTGCTGGGTGACTTTTCACGAGACACAGTCCCAAGGGCCTTCGGTCCCCCTGGAAAGTCACAGCAGGCAGCTAGCCAGAACCAGATCCCCAGCCCCTGCCTGGCACCTTCTTACCTCCGTTATCGCTGCCACCCAGCCGCTCCCCGGAGGTCTCTGTCTCCGTTGGTTCATCTTCCTCGTCCTCCTCATCCTCCCTGGCCAGGGCAGGCTGGGGTGGGCTTGGGGCAGGGCTGGGCGGCTGTGGTTCTGGTGGGGGCCCGGGGGGCCGGGCGGCAGCAGCTGCCCTATGAGCTTGGGCAATGTCATGGAGGCAGCGACGGGCAGCCTCAGCCAGGGCCCCACGGCCATGGGCTGCATAGGCACAGGGTCCCGGGCGTGGTGGTGGCGCAGCCGTCAGCAGCACCAGCTCTGTGCCTGTCCGGGCCCGGAAGCGCTCGGCGGCCCCCACCACAGCCTCCCACAGCTCCTCCGGCCGCCCTGACGCCATCAGCGCCCTGTGGGCCAAAGCAGGACAAAGGGGGATGAGGCTCAGGTGCCCATACTGTTCCCACCCAGCCTCGTCCACCTGCTCCCTGGATGCCACTCATGTCCCTCACATCCACTTTGCCTGGCTAAGCTTGGTGCTTTCTGCAAACCTGCTACTTCCCCGGGCCCCTCACACCACCCCTCACTCACATCCACCTCCCTCCTGCCCCAAATATCTGCACTGTCCTTTCCCAGCCCCAGGTCTCCTTTTGGCTCTACCCTGTCCCACATTCGAGTCAGGAGTCCTTGGAATGTGGCAGCTACAAGCAGAGAGGTGCTATGAGCGTCACAGCCATGCCGGGTTTTGAAGACTCAGTATGAAGAAGCAGAAGGCAAAACTGCTCGGTAGCCGTCACACACTCTGGACCCCATGTTGAAAGGATGGCAGTTACACACACTGGCCAAATAAAACAGATGGCAGAAATAAATTTCATCTGTTTTCTTTTTCCAGTGGCTTCTAGGAAACTGGCAGGCTGGCACTGCATTTCTGTTGAACCAGCTGCACCATCACCCCAGCCTCCAGTCACATAACATGAGGCCCAGAGGGTCATCTCCACCAAGAGCTGACCCTACCACTTGCGGAATTCCCAGGACAAGGTGGTCCCCACACCTGGAAGACTGGACCTCCATTCAAGGCCAACCAGTCACTCATCCTGTGTGAATGAAACTTCCCTCGCCCCTGATTAAGCCAATTCCCCTCCTTGGGGCTCCTGCATCTGGGCAACCTCCTGTTACAGCCAATCCCCTCAGGAAAGGATTGAATAAAGGGGGAAAAAAAGCCATGTGAGCTGCTCTCTGCCTAGAAATCCACCCACTGAAAGCTTTGCGCTTCCTATGAGATGCTGTCTTGCCACCTTGTCTGTAAGTCTTCCTTGGTTCCCAAGTGGACGACATCCTCCTCAGCCCCCACAATGCTTAGGCTCCCTCCATCCTAGTCAAGTCACCTCAGCTAGTGACAGCTGTACCACTGACTGCCTCTCTTATCAGACTGCGAGCTCCCCTAAGCAGGAATCTGTCTCTAGGACAAGTCAGCTCTGGGCAACATCGGTGGGAAGGCCAGAGGCAGGGGACTGGCTTCCTGCCCTGATTCCAGCCAGCTATGTGACCCTGGGCCACTCTTCCCTCCTTCTTCCCCGTTAACCAAAGCAGTAAGCCAGAGCTGCTGGGGAGCTGAGGAGCTTCCTTGGAGACATAATTAATACTCTGTCACTGGAGGGATTCAAGTCCACCAGAGGCAGGGTGAAAGGAAGCAAGGAATCGGAATTCAACTTTCAGGCCCTTTTTGATTTGTGACCACAGAAATGGGTACAGGAACTCGATGTCCTCACCTCACCTCCTCTCAGCTCACTAAGGTGGGGGCTGACAACCCACAACAGAGTTCAGGGAGTACACAACTCTGCTGGGAGGGAGGTCCACGCAACACATTCCATATTCCAGGCAGGGCCCGAGGGTGGAATCAACTTCATCTCACTCCCCACCCTAAGGGGAAGGGAGAGTATCACCCCACTTTACAGTTGCAAACTCAGGCTCAGGGAAACTTAGTACCTTGTCCAGGGTCACACAGCCAGAAATAGCAGGGCTGAGGCCAGGACTAGGACAAGATCTAGAGAGTTCTTAATCCTGCCGACCATCCTGCCTGCCTCAGGTGGGAAGATTCATGATCTTCTTATCCAGATGGGGAAAATGAGGCTCAGTGAGCTTAAGAAACTAGCCAGAAAGCACACAGCTGGACAAGGCAGAAGAGGGGCTAAAACCGCTGTCTGTCTGATACCCAGGTCCTGCAGCACTGGGAGGTGTCCAGTGTCTTGTACACTGTCAAGTTCTTTCATCTGATGAAGGAAACTCAGGCTCAGAGCAGGTACAGACTCGTCTAAAATCACAGGCAGGTCCTGACAGTGACAGACATGGCCTGGGCTCTCTTTCCTGGGCCCCCTATGTGTACATGCAGAAAATAGAAGAGGATATTAGGATCCAACTACCTCTTTGCACTAGAACTTGGGGTGGCCACAGAGCTGACCAGTGTGAAAACGGAGGCAAAGCGGGTTGTTAAGGTCCCTGCACCTCAGACAAGAGGCAGGGGCAAAAAGGACCAGGGACTTACACAACCTCTCTGCCAAGGCCTGAGGGCTCTCTGGACTGCTCCCCAACAGGGCAGCAAAGAGCTAGGAGCCTCCCGCCCCCTCCTCTGGGAGCGGGTCCAGTCGCCTCTCAGGAGCCTCACCCCCGTGGAGTTTAAGATTGGGAGTGGGACATGTCCCCTAAGGGAGGGCGGGGGGCGGCAGCAAGGCGACTGGTCCCTTCATATGGGATGTGGAGGGAAGAAAGGTGAGGAGGAGGGGAAGGGGAGTGAGGAAGCTGACTCCAGGAAGCGGTGAGAAAAGGGCAAGCCCCCAAAGCATGAGGGATGCTAGCGAAGCCCCCCACCTGTCAAGCTGGAAGCGACCCTCGCCCGGAGGGGTGAGGAACGCGAGCATGCACGCTGGAGCCGGGGCAGGGAGAACGTCGGGGACCAGCTCCGCCGCTCAGACCCATTCCCACCACGCCCGGGGTCCAGGGAGGACCCACTTCTACAAGAAAAAACAGGAAATCCCGCCCAGGTGGGGCCAGGACCGGAAGTCCCGCCTTTGGAGGGGTGAGGGGCTCCGCGAACACCCCCTCGAGCGACACCTAGGTCCCGTGGCATGGCCCACGAGTCAAGGTGAGGATCCTGTGGGTAGTAGGGACACCGGAAAATAAGGTTGTCTAGGATTTTCCTGAGGTCAGACATGACGGTTCCCATGGGAGACTCTCTTCCAGCATTCAGCCAAAGGTCGCTGGACGATCTCTGCCCGCTGACTGATGCAGGCCGTACCCCTTCCGTGAACCGATAGCCCTCCCAGCGCCCCCTCTGACTCCGGAACGCCAAATCCTCCCCACACCGCGATTCACAACGCCGCCTCCACTCACGTGCCCGTAGCCAGCATGGCCGGCCCGGCGCCGTCGCCGCCCTCAAAAGGCATGGCGGCGCTGCGTCACTTCCGTGTAGTTGCCCCTCCTCCACTCCGCACACTCCTCCTCCCTTATTCGGGTCTCCTGAGACCAAAATGGCAACAATAGATGCTTCATCTAGACCAATGGGGGCAATAGTAACAGCAGAGTGCCCATAAATGAGATGGTGAAAGAAAGGTTTCCGCGCAAGCCTAGGCCACTTCGATTTGCCCCCAAGAAATATGGCTGACTGCAGATCCTCACACAGGTTTGTAATAAACTCAGGCAAGTGACCTGACATCCCTCACCAGTAATCAAGTTTTTCCGCAGACACAAAAAATGGAGGAAATCAGAGCCCGTCAGCGACATGGCATCCAGTCTGGCTTCATTTTCTCCCAATGTGTATGGACACTCCCTCCCACCAACCTACCCTCCCAGCAGCACCAAGACTGGCAAATATCCAATATGGCAGCATTTCTTGCTTCGGTTTGCCCAGCTTCAAAATGGCGGCTCAGCCCACTTTCCACGGTGACTCAGGAATTCGTCTGGGACAGCTTCGTTTCCGGGGGCATTTACGGCTGCATCCCGTAATCCCGAGCCCCTCCGAACGTCTTGTGTACATCTCCTCTCACCTTTATCTGTTCCTCTTTTCCAACACCTCGCTTTCGTGCCCCGCGGAGAGATGAGACTGCCCCGCATTAACATGGCCCTGGCCGACCTGTTAGGGCCGTGCCCTTGAGCAAAATGGCACCTCTTTGACTTCGATGCCAGTATACAGCATGGGAAAAAAAGTGGGCGAACTCGAGCTAGGGGGGGCGGAGCTCTTGGACCCTCCCACTTGTTTACTCCGTGGCGAGAGCGGAGTCGCTGCGCCTGCGCACCCTCTGACAGCTCCACCTCCAACGTCTATGCCTTGTGACTCGAACCCTTGCAGTTCAAGTTCAACTACCCCATTCTGAAAAGTGGTCTCACCCACTCCTGCTTTAGAATGGTAAGGGCGCTACCACCATCTGGAATTGAGGGGGAGTGTCCTTTCCGGATGTGACACCACACTGACCCGGAAAAGAAGGAAGCTGGGACAGTGGGGCCTCTGTGGCAACTATGGAGGGATCCGGCTACAGGGTAAGTACTCAGAACCCATTCCTTCGCTTCTGTCTATACAAACCTCCCCCTTTCGGTAGTCCACTGGCTGTGCAGGGTTTATGGGAACCAGGCAAAGCCTTAGCAAACACCATTCCTTGGTAAACGCGCTGTCACCCTTCGCTTGCCTGTCCGGAGGGACACCCTGCCTTTTAGCCCCGCCCTCTTTGGAATGCGCACCCACGCCGGAACGCGGGTCTGGTCTTCAGGTTTGGTCACACCCTCCCTATCCCTTCTGCAAAGCCCCAGGCCCCGCCCCTGGGACTAGCTCCGCCCAGGCCCGCTCCCATTGGCTCCCTTCCGGTGCCGCCCCTTCACGAGCCCGCCCTGGCGGGGTTTTACCCTCCCTGGTTGTGGCCGGCAGGTGGTGTTTGAGAAGGGAGGTGTGTACCTGCACACCAGCGCCAAAAAGCATCAGGACCCGGACTCGCTCATCGCTGGCGTCATCCGTGTCGTGGAGAAGGTGGGCTGGAAGAAAGCAGGGCCTTCAGAAGGCAGGGGTGGTAGGGTGTGGAAAGCTGAGTGAGGGTGGTGACTGCATTATTTGGGAAACTGCACTGAAAGCTTTGAGGTGGTTTGGAGAGCCCACTAATTCCTCTTCATTTACCCCAGGACAATGACGTCCTTCTGCACTGGGCTCCAGTAGAGGAGGCTGGAGATTCCACCCAAATCCTCTTTTCCAAGAAGGTAGGGTTCCATCGAATCCCGCTTCTTACTCTTTTCTAGGTCTGAGTAGCAGAGGCATTGAGGGACCTGGGACCATCCTAGACACCTGTGGGGGCATGTGTGAGCCTGGCTGAGAACTAGGAACTCTCTGCTCCACTGTTCCTCTTTGTGAAATGGGCTGAAAATGCCCATTCAAGGGAAGGGGATGGGGACCATAAGATTCATGGCTGTGAGGACACCTGCTCCTGTACCCTTTGCTCCTTGGGTGAGCCTTGCCAGAGTGGGATGGGAGAGCTGAGCCTGTGCATTCCAGTTGCTTGAAGGGGTATGACATTTCTTGGGTGTAGTCTGCCATCATGGTAGAGAACAGCTCACTGAGGCTTCTTATCCACTTCTCCCCTCCCCTCAGTTCTTACATACTTTGTCCCTTTCCTGTCTTTCACGGGTTATCACCAGCACTACTGGCTTTCACTCTACTTAGCCCTCAGCACAGCCCTTGTCTGCACCATTTCACAGAATCTGTGCAGCAGCCCCTGAGCTGGCACCATTAAGAGCACCCACCATCTATGGCTCTTATTGTGTACCAGCCCCCATAGTGGGGATTTTGTTAGTTTCATAACAAATCTGTGAGTAAACAATTTTTTTTCACTGTTGAGATATAATTCACCATAACACTTTTTTTGAAATACTTATTTTTTACATATAGGTGGACACAATGTCTTTATTTTTGCTTTACGTGGTCCTGAGGATCGAACCCAGTTCCTCACTCATGCCAGGCAAGCGATCTACCTCGAGCCACAACCCCAGCCCCATAACACTTTAATATACAGTAAGAAATTAATTAATTTATTTTTATATGGTGCTGAGGCTCAAACCCCAGTGCCTCACACATGCTAGGCAAGCTCTGTTCCTCAGCCCATAAAGTAAAAAATTTAAAGCATGTAGTTCTAACTAATTAGAACAAATTTAAAAAAAATAAAAGCACGTAGTCCAATGTGTTCACCATCATCACTAAGTTGAAAACATTTTGGCATTCCCCAAAGAAACAGTATGCCTCCTGGTGGTCACTCCCTGTTGTCTGTGCATAGCCGCTTGTAATTGTGGATCTATCTCGCCAATGACCCGTGCTGACGAGATGAGCTGGCTGCAACATTAAGCTAAGAAAATGGTGAAAAAGCACAGGACACAGAAGTAATTTTCATATCGAGAGCGGGACTGCTCTGTGACCTTAAAAGTCAGCTTCCACACTGGAGAGAGCACTGGAAAAGAGTGTGCACCTGGAATCTCTTTATTTTTATGAGGGGGACACAGAAAGGAGGTTCAATATAATGTTCTTCATCAAATAAGGCAGGGGATAAGGTTTCAAATGGGAGGTTGTTCAATCCCATTGGCTCAAGTCCAGAGCTGAAGCAAACTTCTTTGCCCAGTGAAGGTAAAGGCCACTTGCTTTGCACAGCGCATGGTGTGTAATGCCAGATCAACATCCCCTTTACTCAAGGTTGAGAGGGGATGCTTAGCTCATGGGCAGGTGGCCTTCCACAGATCTATTTTCTTTGTTTGACTTTGCCTGTTTGAGATGTTTCCTGTAAATGGAATCATGCAATCCTTTTACTCATACTTGCAAGGACCATCCATGTTGTAGTGTGGCCCTTTTCCTTCATGAGGCTGAATAGTATCTGGCCCTCATGTCACCTGGATATGCAGTATTTTGCTTCTTTATCAGTTTGATGGATGTTTGGGTAGTTTCCATCTGTTGGCCATTATGAATTATATGCTGTGTCCATGTCTGAGTTTTTGTGTGGACATAGATTTTCCTTTCTCTGGGGCCCATACCTAGGAATGGATTGCTGGCTCATCATGGTAACTCTATTTTTTAATCTTTTGAGGAACTGCCAGACTGCTTTCCAGAGCAGTGGCACCATTTTACATTCCCACAAGCAGTATAGGCAGGTTTATTTCTTTGCATCCTTGCCAGCGCTTGTTATCGTCTGTTTAATTCAGCAATTCTGGTGGGTATAAAGTGGTATCTTCTTTCTTTCTTTCTCTTTTTTTCTTTTGTGGTGTTGAGATGGAACCCAGGTCCTCATGCATGCTAGGCCAATGCTCTGCCACTGAGCCATACTCCAGGCTTGTGATTGGCATCTAATGGTGGTTTTGTAGTGCAGTTCCCTGTTAAGTGCTAGCAACTTTCTTTAAGCACTGCAGTCTCGCTGTCTCACTGTCTCACTGCAAAGCTACTTGCTCAGTAGCATTCATCCCTACACACTGGAAGACCTGGGTTCAAGTCCTGGCTATGCTGGGTGACCTTGCTTGAGTGCTGTGCCACTGTTGTGTCTTACTCCCTGTTCAAATGGACTGCCTTCTAACAGAGACTCTAGGCTCAGATCTGGAAACTCTGAATCCATAGCACCTCATTCTCCTCCTTTCCTCCCCCAAGGACTCCAGTGGGGGTGACTCCTGCACCTCTGAGGAGGAACCTACCTTTGACCCAGGCTATGAACCTGACTGGGCTGTCATCAGCACAGTGCGGCCACGGCCACATCACTCAGAACCCACAGAAGGTAGGCTGAACTGGTGTCCCTGGGAGGCAGGTGGAACACATCTTGCCCTCAGTGGCAAAGATTTTGTTGCTTAGTTGGAATAGCCTCCTGGCACCACCTTCCTGTCCCAGGAGAGTGGAGTGGATTGGCTTTGGGCACCCCCTTGGGTCCTACCCCTGAAGGTTTCTAGGCTGGTGGGTGTGACAGATGCAGCCAGTTATCAGCTACAACAGGGCTGATAACTGGGTTATCAGGGTTGGTCACGTCCTACCTCTCTGAGGGACACTCAGAAATTTTCTTTCCCAGCAAGGCCAGAAGAAGGAGTGCAGGGGGTGTTGTGGTTTGAGTGTGGGGTCTGAACTGAAAAGGAGGTTGGAGGTGAGACAGAAAGGAATCTGATTTGGAACAGACCCTGAAGGACTTCAAGTAGCAGATTAAGGAATATAGTCTTCTCCCTGAAGGAGCTTGAGAAGGTTCTGGAACAGGCACATATCTACCAGGCTTCTTTCCCATTTTATTGTTTTATTCTCTAAGAAATATAAGGTGGCTCAGTTATAAAAGATTGGGTCATGGGAACCACTTTTGGTGGGACCTCAGGAGACAACTGTGCTGACCTGGCTGCCTCTGTACTTCCATGCTGCTTCCAACACAGTGCTGTCCTCCTAGGTGCAGAGCCAAGCTCCACCCGGGGCTCCTGGGCCTTCTCCGTGAGCCTGGGGGAGCTCAAGTCCATACGCCGGTCCAAGCCAGGCCTCAGCTGGGCCTACCTGGTTCTGGTGACTCAGGCTGGAGGCTCGCTGCCTGCTCTGCACTTCCACCGTGGGGGCACCCGAGCCCTGCTGCGTGTCCTCAGCCGCTACCTGCTGTTGGCCAGGTGAGCCTTCTTTCAGCTCTAGGCTCTGACTAGGCCCTGGCCCTCTGCAGCTGCATCTTGACCCCTTCAGATTGCAAAGAAGACACAATTCAAACTGACTTAAAGAGAAAAGGAATTGCCTGGCATAACAAAACTGAGAAGCCCAAGAGTAGTATGGATTTCAGTCAGGCCCTGGGACCCACAGGGCTAGAGATTGCTTCTTTTCCCTTTGAGCTTCTGTCATTCTCTGAGGCCCCTAGCAGCCCAGACTTAGCAACAGCCTGCATGGAAACATCTTCCCATCACATTCCAACAGAATCCCACAGCTGCCTCTCAGGCTCATCCCTGAGTCGAGTCACCCTGGCCAGGGAGGTGCAGACCCTTATTGCCCAGCTCTAGTCCCTGACCTCTCCCTGCAATAACATACCTGAGATGAGGGCTTCCTGAAGGGCTGCTGGGATGCTGAAATGAACAGATGTGTGCCTGGACAGCCCAGGACACTGGGTCTCCACCGCGCATCACCGGTGCATCCCCTCCCACCTGCCAGCTCACCGCAGGACTCCCGCCTCTACCTTGTCTTCCCTCACGACTCTTCCGCCCTCTCCAACTCCTTTCACCACCTGCAGCTCTTTGACCAGGACAGCTCCAACGTGGTGTCTGTGAGTGTCCTCTCTACCAGGCCAGCAGGGTGGGAGTGGGGCAGGACCCAATGGAACCTGTGATAATCTTTGTCTCTGTGCCCAGCGCTTCCTCCAGGACCCCTACTCCACCACCTTCAGCAGCTTCTCTCGAGTGACCAACTTTTTCCGAGGAGCGCTGCAGCCACACCCTGAGGGGACCTCCTCCCCTGACCTTCCTCCACCACCTGATGATGAGCCTGAGCCTGGGTTCGAGGTCATATCCTGTGTAAGTATCAAGTGGGTCCTGCTTGTTACTTTCTGGCTGTTTCATGGGCACATGACTTAATTTTCCTGGGCCTCTATTTCCTCCTTACAACGTGGGACAGTAGTGGCACCACCCTTCTGGGGTTGCATAAGAAGTAATTTCAGTTGGATATGGTGGCATACAACTGTAATGTCAGCAACTTGAGGAGCTGAGGCAAGAGTATCATGAGTTCAAGGCCAGCCTGGGCATCTTGGAAAGACTCTGCCTCAAAATAAATAAAAGGCTGAGACTGTAGCTCAGTTGTCCTGGGTTTGAACCCCAGTACTAAAATTTAAAAAATAGCAAAGGGGAGTGATCTGACAGAAGCACATTCGGCTGTGCCAAGCACAGAGCACACCCGATGGCTGTTGTCACTGGGGGCTGTCCTGCCTTGGGTGGCCTTGCTGCTGATTCAGGGAGGGAGCTGTTTTCTGTCCCTGATTATTAATGGTCTGTTGAGCTAAGAAGGGCTCTGAGCTCCCTTGGAGGTGGACTGAGATGGTGCTAAGGGCCAGATCTGGCAAGCCCCAGGCTTACCTCCTTGTGTACTGCAGGTAAAACTGGGGCCACGGCCAGCTGTGGAACGGGCTTCCCCAGTCACAGAAGGGGAATGGGCCCTCCACGTGGGCCCTGAGGGCCGCCTACAACAGGTCCCTGAATTGAAGAACCGGATCTTCTCAGGGGTGAGCACCAGAGGATGCGGGGATGGGCAGGGCTGGTGGCATCAGGAGATCCACTGAACTACCTCTGCCACTTTACCCCCAGGGTCTGAGCCCCAGCCTGCGACGAGAGGCCTGGAAGTTCCTCCTGGGATACCTCAGCTGGGAAGGCTCAGCTGAGGAGCACAAGGCCCATGTGCGCAAGAAGACGTGAGTGAGAAAACATGGCCCCTGTGTTCTTGGGGCAGTTTTGCCCTTCAAAGCTTTGGCTTCCACCTCCCCAAGTCTCCCAGGTGGATTGGAGCTTCTTGATCAACAGCATGTCCCATGAGCCAGCACGGTACCTGGCTCTTCACAGGGATGCTGTAGACAATAGGCTTGTTCCATGAACACTGGTTTTGAGCCTGCCATACGCTGGGCACTGTGCTATGCCAGAGGATATGGTGGTGAACAAGTCAGACCTGCCATCCCCATGTGGTCTGTCTCCAGTCTGAATTGCTGCTTCATTCCTGGGCCATGCTGTGTCACTAGTCATAATAGTTTTGTGGTCTAGCCTCTGCCCTCCCTACTCCTTAGGGATGAGTATTTCCGCATGAAGCTGCAGTGGAAGTCTGTGAGTCCCGAGCAGGAGCGGAGGAACTCACTCCTGCATGGATACCGCAGCCTCATTGGTGGGTGTGCTGGGTTTTGGGGTGGTGCAGAGGTGAAAGGGTGGGAGAGAGGAAATAGCGAGGAGGGCTGGGGCAGGGATGAGGTCATCTGGGGAGGGAAATGGGGATGAATCATGGTAGAAATGGCCTGGGGTGACAGGCCAGGGATGGGGGCAGGGGAGCCTTTAGGATTAAATGTCAGTTGTCACTGGGAGGTCTAGACAAGTGATTTTACCTCTCTGGGTCTCGGTTTCTTCGCTGGCAGGATGGGGTAAGCTGTTGAGTTGAAGCCCAGTGCCTCACAGCAGGAGTGTTAATGATGATTTTGGAACCAATCCCACTCCTGCCCCAGAGCAAGCGCTGAAGCTGGGGGCTGCCAGGGAGCAGAGGAGGCAGGGCTGGTGCTGGTGGCCAGGAGGAACGGGGGCCTCACCTTTTTTACGTTTGCACTCTGCGCTGGGTTCCTGCAGAGAGAGATGTGAGCCGCACTGACAGGACCAACAAATTCTACGAGGGCCCCGAGAACCCAGGGCTGGGCCTCCTGCATGACATCCTCCTCACGTACTGCATGTACCACTTTGATCTTGGTGCGGAACTGGCCCCGGGTGGGGGTGGGGTGAAGGAGCTCTGCCCTAGATCCTGACCTTGCCCCCCTCCCCCCAGGCTACGTCCAGGGCATGAGTGACCTTCTCTCCCCGATCCTCTACGTCATTCAGAGTGAAGTGGATGCTTTCTGGTGTTTCTGTGGCTTCATGGACCTTGTGGTAAGGCCCACTACAGGAGTGGGAAACAGACCTCTGAGAGTCAGGGCTGGGGGCTCCTGATACCCCCTGCCTTCCTCTCCCTGCAGCATGGAAACTTTGAGGAGAGTCAGGAGACCATGAAGCGGCAGCTCGGGCAACTCCTGCTGCTCCTGAGGGTGCTGGACCAGCCACTGTGCGACTTCCTGGGTATGTCCTTAGGGCTGGTGGGTGAGTAGGCAAGGGATTCACAGACCTTGCCAGAGATTCTCTGTTAGTAGCCACAGAAAGTGTCTGGGATGCTTGGTGCTGATCTGAACAAGAGATCCTGAAACTTAAGTGTAAGGGCTGAATGGCAGTTTGGAACTGAGCTTTGGCATTGCCCATGATCCTCTAGCCACCCCCATGCTTCCCTCCACCTGAGGGACTTCAGCTACAGCGTGGTCTGCCCAGGGTGTTTCAGAAACAGAGAATCTACCATCTCTGTCCATCCTGCTCCCGCTCAACCTAGGCCAGGATCAGAAACTGGTTTTGTGACTCCTGGGTGGGGCTGCTGCATGCTGTCTATAAGCTGTTTGTTCAATATAAAAAATGCTGAAAATTCAGATGAAGAAAAAAGTAAAAGATGACGATAAGGTAATTTATGATATTTCCTTGAGGAAGCTCTAAGACTCTTGGGGGAGGGAGATAAACACCTCACCTCATCTTCTGGGGCATGAGGACCTGAGCTGCCTCTTTGCAGCTGAATGCGTGGAATTGTCTATGCCTGAATGCGTCTGAGATCCTCTAAATGCATGGAATTCTCTTCCCTGAAAGACACACGGAACTGATTTATCCTGATGGACATCTGCAGTTTCTTACCAGGATAAATAGTCTGGAAGATATGTTAAGGTCAAAATTCAAAAAGGGAATTGATCATGTCCAGGGCTTTTGGGCTGGGGTGTGGCTTAGTAGTGGAGCACTTGCCTAGCATGTGTGAGGTCCTGGGTTCCATTCCCAGCACTGCCAAAACTTTTATAACCCCCCCCCACCTCCACACTGGGAATTTAACCCAGTGGTGCTTTACCTCGGAGTTACATCTCCAGTTCTTTTTAGTTTTTATTTTGATATAGGGTCTTGATAAGTTGCTTAGGTTGGCCTCCCATCTCAGCCTCCTCAGTTGTTAAGAGTTATGTGCTATCTTTTGAACTGATGTCCTCATCGCCGCTTGCCTGCAAAGTTATCACCCCAGCTGACATTTTGGCCAACAGTGTTTCTAGGGGCCAGTGTCTACAACCCTCACCAGCACTGGTGGCTAAGATTTTGTTATCCTTGGGAGTGTTTATCTTGTCAGAGTGAAAGATGTGGAGGTAGTGCACTTCCTCTGGAGAGTGGCAGGCATGGTAGGAAAGCTAGAGTGGGCTTCTGAAGCCCCCAAGCCTGCACATATGACCTGCCTGCACCCAGGGAGGGCCTGACAACCAGGACTACTCAGAGGCTTTGTCCAGCTGTTGGGCATGTTGTGAATTTTTTTTTTTGGAATTGGTTTTGAGTTTGGGGGGAATTGGGTTTTGAATTTGCTTATTATAGGGCACCTGCTCTGGGTGAAGCTGAGTCATGCATTGTCCTCCCCCAGACTCCCAGGACTCTGGTTCTCTCTGCTTCTGCTTCCGGTGGCTACTCATCTGGTTCAAGAGAGAATTCCCTTTCCCGGATATCCTTCGGCTGTGGGAGGTGGGCCAGCCAGTTCTGGTGGGAGGACTGAAGAGGAAGGAGAAGTGGGAGGGGCTGGAAGGTTGGAGGGAGATGGGCAAACCTGAATGGAGCAGACTTGGGTAGGACTTCAGGCAGAGGTTCCTTCTGGCACCCCCAGGTGCTGTGGACAGGGCTTCCCGGTCCCAATCTGCACCTGCTAGTAGCCTGCGCCATCCTGGACATGGAGCGGGACACCCTCATGCTGTCTGGCTTTGGCTCCAACGAGATCCTTAAGGTGAGGGCTCCCCCTGTCATCCCTGGCAATGCCTTGCCTGTGCAACAGTTGGACTATTGAATGGATGGTTGGCTGTGAACACTGTCAGGGTGGATCTGCTGTTCTCTCCTTTCTCCTATGCCTGCCTCCTAGCATTGTACCCACGGAACAGGTGAATGGGGACATGCCCCGCCCCTTCATTTTACAATATATCTGGCCAGCAGTGAGCAATGGGAATGATTACTGTAGGACTGAGAAGCCTGACTCCCTGACTCCACAGCCCTGCTCTGAGCCCCTACAGGGTCATCCTTATCTTCCCTCCATTCCCCAGCAGGCAGGTGCGTAGAGTAGTGCTTGACCCACTCCCTCCCCACAGCACATTAACGAGCTGACCATGAAGCTGAGCGTGGAAGACGTGCTGACTCGTGCCGAGGCCCTCTACCGGCAACTGACTGCCTGCCGGGTGAGTCCTGGCTCTCCCCACAGTGGTCTCCCAGCTCTTCTGCTGGCTCACCACTGACTTTTTGCCTCCACGCCCCTAGGAACTGCCCCACAACGTGCAGGAGGTTTTGGGTCTGGTGCCACTCTCAGAGCCCCGCAGCCCCTCGCCCCTGGTGTCCCCACTGCCACTATCACCTACACGGGCCCCGCCTGCCCCGCCGCCTCCAGGGGACACAGCCCCACAACCTGACAGCAGCCTAGAGATCCTGCCAGAGGAGGAAGACGGCCCAGACTCCTAACGTATATTGACCAGTGGCCTGCACGGGCGCTGTATCTGCCCCAGGCCTCTGGGGGCTAAGGGAGGGACCTGTGAGGAGGGCTGCTGCCCGCTGCACTCCTGATAAGCTGGTTTCATTAAACTGACATTTCTCACTTCACTTGGCATTATGGCCAGGATGGGGAGGTGGTGGCATGTGGCCCCTGTGCAGAGCCCAAGCCTGACCACCTGACCTGGGACTTGGCCAATGAGACATAAGAGGTGGTTCCCGTAGGGCATGTGGAGGCAGGGCTTCTGGAAAAGTGGAAGATGAGGTGTTCAGGGCCACAGCAGCAGGCACCTCCGGATGTAATGGCAGTGAGGGGCCTGCAGAGCTGCACACTGGTACCCTGCCCACCAGCTGCTGCTCATGTGAAAAAAAATAAACTAAACTTGTTTAGCCCACTGGAAGTCATAGATTTTCTGTTGTCACAGACCTGGTTGGGTGGGGAGCACTGTAACACTAGTAGTGCATTGTCTGTCCTGTCCCCTTCCCCCATAGAACCCCACCCCCACCCCCGTCAAGGAAGAAGCTAGGGACAGCTTCTGGGGCTCCAGGATCAGCCCCTTCCCTTTGAACTGCAGGGCTAGTAGCTCTTGTCCAGGCAAACTGGGGAAGCAACTGAGCAGGGACGGGGCTGAATCACATGACTTTTTCTGAAAATACTTTAATTCAAGCCGCTAAGGTGGTCGGTGTGCTGGACAGATGGGAGCTGAGGGGCTGCACCATGGGTGGGTTCTCCTTTTCCCTCTCTGCACGGGGGATAGCTGGCTTCCTCCTGGACATCTCCCTGCCTCTCGTGGACCACATCCACGTGTGTCTCATGGACCACGTGCAGCTCACGAGGCTCCTGCTGGTCC